GTGATTGTTAACACCATTGTCACGATCCACACAAAGTAGTTGCCGCATTCTGTTGAATTGAGGCATTCAGACGAGAGAAGGGTTTCAGTGAAACCTTTTGCACATTGTCCACAGAGGGTGCCGATCCTGTTCCCCTGGCAACTGTTGTATTATGTTGTTGCAACTGAAGGGCAGTAATCTTCCGGACAGACTAAAAACCCCAGCGACTGTGAATGTGTGGACGTTGGATAGTCCCAAAAATTTGGCTTTACTGCAATGTTGTTTTCAAATGGTGGCTGCAAATGAACATGGAAGATAGTGAACAAGATATGCCACAACTAATCTTCGAGACGTTCCCTTTTTAGGCCTAAATAACCAGGAGCGCAGGATCTGCAAGAATATTTCAGAGAAGTAACGTTCAATATGCAAGCACTCTTTTTTTTTTTTCTTCTTTTTTCTCGGTATACTGACTGAAAAGCCATTTTTCTGTTTTGTTATTGTAGACCATTCATAGGTCAAAAGATACCTTTCATTGGTCTAATTCAACTACCCTACATTCATTAATAAAGAAAGTATGTTTTCAACACAATGCTCGTGATTAGTTTTTTCAGGTTTACCTAAGAAAGTAAAAATATAACAAGATTGAGTATTAGAAAATGTTCATACTGGTATAAAGTAGAAAAAATATTTACCTCAGTTTTGATGAAAGTGATGGATATGTAATAACACTTCGGTGAGCAATCGCTAACTATTGATGTTTTGGCTTTAACACGCAAGGCTCCCTTACAAGTGTCATACATTGCCATATTTACTAGAGCGAGCGCTCTCCGATCTCCTCCTTAAAGGTGCCAGGCCTTAGGTATAGGCCACACCTATGATTTTCTATTTGAAAACGCATACCTTTTAGGGCACGTCCACCTATTTTTAACACTAAAACAACCAAAACTTCTGTTAGAAATGGAGATTTTGGTCCAAAAGAGGAGCCTAAAGAAAAAGTTCTGTCTTTTGGGACGACAATAAACGGAGGCTTTTGAAGAAAAAGATTGCTGTTACGTATTTGTATGGACAATAGACATTAAAAGCAAAAAAAAAAAAACCCAAACACCTAAAATGAGAGGACAACGAATTCATGTGGACAAAATGAAAATTTAAGAAAAACCGGTTCATGTGAAACAGATATGTAAAGAGGCTTTGCTTAAGGTCCCTATTTTACCGAGGACGGCTAAGAAATACACAAGGTCTTCAAACGCAGGTGCTGAGTTATTTTTCTGCCCATTAAATCTTTTGTTTGCCTCGTCCTCATTGCCGTCACCTTCGTGGTTTACGAAAGGTCCCTATTTACAGTTGTCATCTGGTATGGGATGAAGAAGATTGAAATGAACCGCAATATTTGGTATTCTGCTATTACTCGGGATTTCCAAAGGAAACGCCCGAGTTGAAACTCCGTCTTGGTTTTTTTTTTTCTTTTTTTTTTTTTTTCAGAAATATGACGAGACAAGATAAGATGGTGCTAATTCGTTAAACTAATAAACCTAACGGAGCCATTGAATATCACATTTGTTACCTCGATGAACGTGCTGGATTTCTGTGCGTATTATATGAAATATAATGACTATTGATTGATGTGTACCAACTGATACGATATTGCGACAACCTACTGAGTTATACCTTTCAGTATACAGTATTATTGACCCAAAAAAATATAAGGTTTATTATTCACATTGAATATCACATTGTGGCCTCAGGGAACGTGCCAGATTTCCGAGCAGATTATTCGAAATATAATGATTATTAATGATATATACCTTCTGATGGGATACTGCTACAGAGGTATACCATGCAATATCGCTGAGTCAAGAAATATTAGGTAAGCTATCACAATATTCTAATTCCGTCCTTATCAAGCAGTTTTCAATGCAGCTAACACCACCACGAATTCCTCGCGAATTGCACTGATATCTAGGACAATGAACATACAGCGCTCCGTAGAGCGGTCCTTTACTGAGCGGTTATGGTCACCCCTTGATTTATTATCTTTCCCTTACATCGAAACGTTATTTAAAGCGAAACCACTCAATTAGACAAAGACTTACCTTCCAAGTAAATTTTAATCCATTTTTATATTTAGAAACAATGTTAGTAAGGAAGTAATGTTACGCCAAGGAAGACTTTGATCAAAAAATTAATTTTTGCCTTTAATTAGAATTTCGAAAATGGCTGTATTTGTTTACCGTCTTATACGGCGCCACACCTCAGCCTCAACTTCAGCAAAACGTGTAAAAGAAGCTTTGAGTTTCAAATGGAAATTAAAATAATTTGCCGTAGCGGTTTCGGTTTGCAGACGAAGCAAATTGTGGTGATTTCATGTTGTTGTTTTGCATAGGACGGCTAAGAAATGTACAAAGTTTTAAAAAGCACGTGCTGAGCTATTGCTCTGCCGATTAGATCTTTTGTTTTTCCATTTCCTCGTTGCCGTCGCCGTCGTGGTTTGCTTAAGGTTCCTATTTTACCGAGGACGGCTAAGAAATACACACGTTCTTCAAACGCAGGTGCTGGGTTATTGTTCTGCTCATTAAATAATTTGTTTGCCTCGTCCTCATTGCGGTCGCCGTCGTGGTTTACAAAAGGTCCCTATTTACAGTTGTAGCGAGCTGCGAAGTGGTAGCCATCGCTAGCCACCGACATCGAGGTAAATAATTGATTTATTATAAACTAAAATAGTGAAATAATATACGCGCTTAAGTATGATTTTGACTCAGTTAATCTTGAAACAACTATTACATTTTCGGGCGAAAATCCTGCGCGCATTGCTCGGAGGTAAACAGCAAAGCATATTCGGAATTTGTGTAGCCAATCAGACCGCGTCTTAGACGTAATTCGCTGTTTCAGTATATACTATTTATCGTTAAAAAGTTGAGCCCCAGCTTCCCACTGTTTCAAAAGCTGGCTTTGGTTTTCAATACATAACGTTTCATTAATTTTTACGGTGATAATCGGTTTTGCCCAACGTCAAAATGTCAGCGTACCATATCCGGTGGTTTCGACATGTTAATTGATAGCTGATGATTGGTCAAATGCAATCATCATACTTTGGATAGTGGAAAAAATCACTTGAATTGCTTTCAAAAGTATTGGCGATTTGAGGCTGTTTTCGCTTCCGTTAAAAACACACGCATGTAGAAAACATAAAAACAAATCATCTGTTTCCATCAATGTGAACTTTTAATGGCCAAAGACAGAATTTCTGGCTCCGGTTGTTCGAAGGGTGAATAACACTATCCACTGGATAAATCTGTATCCGGTGGATAACATAGTACGTTTTGTTAACACTTAAGCGCTTAATAACGATTTATCC